TAGTCATTATTCATTCACTCCATACTCTGTAATGGTTACTTGCTAGCACTGGCCTGGGGCTGACTGACAGAAGCGAGGCTGCAAATCTATGCCATCAGCTCCTCCAAACACCATCAATCATTCATGCATAAACCACTTTCATATTAGACAATGTGGGTAAACTGTCTTGCCTAAGGACACAATGACAGAACTTGGTCTGAGCGGGAATCAAATTTCAGGTTGGGGGACCTCCTCTCTAACCACTGAACCACTGTCGTCCCAGTTAACACCTAAAGTAAATTCCATTGCTTTTATAATAATAATAATAATAATAATAATAATAATAATAATGCACATCCTCACATCTTTAGTTTATGTACTTGCAATTACTTGAATAAATGAAAAAACTCCTTGTTGTTCCCAGAGCGTCTCAGACTCGTAACTGCGTCCTGAATGTGTCCCACCCCAGGTAGATGAAATAGAATGCATTATTGCTGCCTACGAGGGGCTGTCTTTGAAGTGAGCATTTGCATAATGTAAGGCCAGAGAATCAGCATTGTGCCGTATGCTCCCTGGTGCACTTCTTATCTTTCTGTCTAGTTGATTTTGCGTCCCTCTCTGTCACTCCTATCTATCCTATTGTATTTTTTCGCACCACTTGTACACACCAAACACCTCCTCGCCGTCTTGTTCTCTTGGTTTATTATGTCCATGTTTCCATTTTGTCGGCAGCGAGATTGATTGAAACCGGAGCTGTTAAAAGGCCACATGCACAGGCAGGCAGGAGGCACTGGTGTGGTGTATCTCTCACGGACCAGGGCTATGGCTGCTATGGTTCGATGGGCTACTACCAGAATTAGCAACTCCTTGGCGTGCTTCAGCGCTAGGATTTCCCGTTAATGAGGCTCAGTGTGGTCGAGCTGGTCGCGAGGGATTATGGGTGAAAAAAAAACTGGAAAATTCAAACTGACGCCATTGTAGATCAAATACAAGATACAGGATGTCACGATTTTAACATATCCTGTCTATTTTTAACTTCTATGCTAAAGATGACTCACAATCCCCCCATCCAACCATGTGCACAGGCGTGAAGACTCGAGAATTCGTTTTGAAAAGCAGATTTGTTCTGTACACTTTTGATTGCGCTGGTGAATACATGGATTTTTTTTTGTTCAGTTTGAGTTCATATGTCTTTGATCCTACACCTCTCCGGCGTGTGGCTCCCTCCTCTCTCCTTAACTCTGCCTCTTTAGCTGAATGGGAGAGACTAGCTGCCTTTGATTTCTCTTATCGCACCGGAATGACTCTTCATGTTTGATTTAACTGCCTCGGATGGGCATGAATTCTCGTTTGATTGGCCGTCTCACAAAGGTGTCCTGCATGATTGGACTATTTGGTTCATGAAATGGGTGTACAAAAAAAAAGCTTGCTTGGATTTTATATTGACTTGAAGAACTATCTAAAAAGTTGTTTTTGTAATATAACAAGACCTATTGTATTTAACAAGTTCTCAGATTTCTCAGGCTGTGTAAACCTACATAACCTTTAAGGAGAGACACCACACGTGAATAGGAAAAAATCTTAACTTTAGAGAACTTCTTCTGTAGTTTAGTTATAAAATGTTAGAAAAAATGTATTACAAGTTTTTTATCATGTAATGTTTTCATATGTGTAAAATATTTGTGTAAAAACTGACAATTGTTGGGACATTTGAATCTCAAAAATAGATGGATCCAGGTTTGAATTTCTTGCTTCTTTTTGTTGACATATTTGATACAAAAAATATTTTTAGAGTTAAAACTTTAAAATAAATAACACTTGGAATTAGTGGTCAGACCAAAATGATTTAATATTCAGTAAACCACATATATAAAGAATAAAGGCTTTATTGACAACAAAAATCATATTACCACATTACAATTTGGAGGTTGTTCTGTATTCATTGCAGTTTTGGGAAAATGTAAAAAATTGAATGATTCAACCACAAAGAGAAACATGCCCTTCAAATCCTTACACAGAAATCTCAGTAATAAAATGTCACTGAGGCTGAAGTTTGTTAGATAAAGAGTTTTAACAAGAGACATAAAGATTAGTGTAAAATTGCAGACACATTCAGCTCAGCTATATTTTCTGTATAGTACAATTTTTTTGTCCCCAGTCTCTTTTTCCTTCTGGCCACTTTAGATCCACTTTAGATCCAACTTACAGAGATAACATGTCTCCATTTTGGCCCAGACTTTTTACCTGCTGTCTTTGTTCTTCACAGAGGACCAGCTGCCCGCGGGGTTCCCCACAATAGACATGGGTCCCCAGCTCAAAGTGGTGGAGCGCTCTCGGACCGCCACCATGCTCTGCGCTGCCAGCGGTAACCCTGACCCAGAAATTACCTGGTTCAAGGACTTTCTGCCCGTCAACACATCCAACAACAATGGGCGTATTAAGCAGCTCCGCTCAGGTAACCACTGCACTTACCGCACCATTCTTTGCTGTCCTTTTCAGTCCCTTTGCTTTTATCTCTACCTAAAGGTCTACCCTTGCGACTCCTGCCTTTGACCACTTCTTGAAGCCACTTGCTATTATTCGCATTCAATTTCTTACTTTTCAGTTCCTATGTACGTCCCCTGGGTTATTTTTGGCCCTTGTTCTTTCTTAGCCCTCACTGATCTGACTGTGGTTACTGGCTGCCCCTCTCTGTCGCTGCTGTAGTATTAGTTGACTGTGTATGATTGCCAAATCCCGTCTAAACTTTCTCAAAGCCTTTTAAAGTAAACTTCTTCTCCCATTTTTTTCTTTCCCAAACTCTCTGAGGTCTTCCCGCACGTATCACCATCACGAAGGATTTCATTTTGCTCTGAATAAAAACATTATAAAATATTTGGGCTGACAGTTCACATCAATTCACCACAAGTCTGTTTATAATTCCCGACCAAGTTTTTGCAAGGTGAAGCTAGGTGATGGTGGCACGGTTTGTGGGAATGGTCTCCCTAAGATAGCTCACTGCTGTGACTAAACAACAAATAACCTCTTGTATTTCTGGATCCCAAGCTTGTCTTTGTGCGGGATAAATAGACATCCAGCATTTAAACTTGAAGAGTACATAAATAGTTACTCAAAGGCTCCCCACAGTTGCTGTTCCAGTCACTTTGGTCTGGTCTATGTGTTTTGTGAAGCCACAGTAGTGCGTAATATCCAAACTTGATTTCAGCAACCCCTCCCTCCAAGTTTTGACCCTGTTCTGTGATTGGACACCCAACGCTCTGGCTCAAAGAGGAAACCTTTGCTTCTGCCCCTTCTGCAGCTTTCCCCTAGTGCACAAAATCCCATTGCATTTTTACAATATACGCAAACTGTTAATTTTATGTACATAGTGCTACGTGTAAGTCATATCGTAATAGTTCATAGAAATAAAGGCGCACTGTGTAACTTTTCTGGTAGAGTCCGAAACCTTGCTTGAGTCTATATACTTGTTGTTGTTTTTTCCTGGAATGTTCTACAATATGGCATTTAATTTATTACTATTTCCATGGAGACAGGCAGCCCACAACACCAGGCCAAGTTACAAGTCAAATCTGTGGAGAAGTGGGCCCATGCTTGTTATTAATATTTTTTGGTGGTAGTTTTGAGAAATAAAAACACCCATAATTGAATAAATACAAGATATATCTGTTTAATCCCATACTGTGGAACATCCCAGGCAAAGCAATATCATCCCTAGAGATTGTAGACCTACACCAGAAAAGTTACACAGTGCAACTTTAAGTAAGGTTTAATATATTAAGAAAAATGCTTTTAAAAAATGTTTCAACTCGTCTGTGAAACCCAGTTGTGGAAACCAAATGTAATGCCCTGCTGTTTCTTTTCTCTCTGTATCTTTTTAACCACAGAATCCTTTGGTAAGTTTGTCTGTTCCCAGGCCCACAGCCTCACTGTCCACTTCTCTATTTACTTCTTCACTAATCCTTCAACTGTTGCTGCTGCTGACACTCTCCACCTCTTTTCAAAAACGGCATGCACTAACGTTCACAAAGAGAGAAAGCTATAGCTGACAGGCACATAGTCAGCCTTAGAGACCCTTGAACACGTAGAAACATGTCAAAACATCCACTACTCACCCTAGATGTAGCTGGCCTCACCTTCACCTGTGCACCTCCAGCTTTTCCACACCCAAAGTTAATAACGATAACTCCCCCACCACTCACCTACTTCCTGTCCCCCCACCGACTCAACTCGCTGTCATTACTCCCCCCACTCCACTGTATAGAGTTACCAGTCAATAGGCCATCAACTTTAGAAGGCTGTTAGCTAGGCCTGCACTGGAGCCACTGGAGAGAAATCAATGACTACCAGGTTTCAGACTAGACCTGGTGTTATGTGTAGGCTGTACTGTGCAGTTTGGTCAACATTACAGGAAAAATAATCAAAATCCAACCACTAATCTTTAAAGTCTGCTACCTGTACCCCGAGTGGACATCAATATAAAATCACTAATATAGGTACCACATAAACACATCTGCATGGTTATTTAGCAAATAATCTTAACTATTTTGTCATTATTGTCATGAAGGGCCCATATTAGGCTATTATCTGAGCTTTGTTATAATGTTTCCTTATCACAAACATACCTGGAGTTGTGTTTTATTTCATTCACACATATTTAACACACACATTTTGCGTATTTTGATTTCTTAGTTTGACTCTCAAACACAAAACACTCTGTTCCACCTTGTGATGTCATGTGGTAATACAGGAAGTGCTCCACTGTGCTTTTAAACTCCATACACCTTCACTAGAATTATTTGGATAATTTTAGCCCTGGAGTTGCCAATCTCTACTGAACTAAAGCCAAGGTAAAAAGCAACTGTTAACTTCAAAACTACGACTTCATTTGGAGATGTAGACAGACTAATAATAAAGGATTACTCAAACATGTGTGAATGAAACAAAGCACAATTTGTGCTATGCTTTAGATGAGGTACCAACATTATAACATGACTCACAAAAACTCAGCTGTGTGCAATATAGCACCTTTAAAATACAATAAAACTAGTACACTACACCATGGAACTGCTACTGTTTCTAATGCTCATGGTAGCTGTAGAAATGTATGTGTATTTATTAATGTACATGTACAGAAAGAATAAGAGCAGCTCTATTTTCCAGAGACTGTCTTCTATATTTAGAGTTTGGGCCCAGCTAATTTTCTATTTTAATTCCTTCCAGTTCTAGTATTAAGATCATTTAGTCTCATTTAGTTCATTCAGTTTTGTATATAGTACACACTAATGTTGGCGTTGCTGTTTACTCAGTTACAGTCCTTTATCTGCACATCGGCCTGTTACGTTGGCTCTATAAACACTCTTCCTCTCTCCTGGGCGCATTCACCTGACATTTACCTCTGATGCTTTAGATCATCTCACTTTTTCCTGTTGTCTGGGATATTAGAAGAAAGCGCCACAAACAAAAGAAATCAATACAAATATGATTCACTTTGTCTCTTTGAGCAGTGTTAACGTATTGGACGTGATTTTTTTTCCTTACAAAATCATAAATAAAATGTAATTTATTTGAGGCATTTACTTGGACAATATCAAACTAAATACACAGAATGGAATCACTTACTTTAAGAGCCCTTACACTCTAAGCCACATCTGCCCCAGCAAAGTCAATGAAGATGAATCGATACGCTATCTCCTTATCTCTCTGTCACTCTATCTGTCCTCCACTTCTCTGTCATTTATTATTCTGTCTGGCTCTTGTTTTTCTCTCAACAATACAAGATCTATATTTTAAGTCTCTTATATTCAAGCACACCCTGCCCCAGCCCTTACTTTCAGAATCCCTCCCTTGCCCCCCTCCCCTTTTGTGGTACTAACATTTTCTTCTTCTTGTTCTTCTCTAATCTCGTGCATTCATTGCTCACTCAGGTGGCACGCCCATACGAGGTAAGACTGCTGGGAGGACCAACATTACACACTGGCCTGATTCCATTCCAGCCCCTGCACTCTGCTTTTTGCCATAGTCTGAAAGAAATTACATATTTGTTACTTTAATAATATGTTTATTCTGATATTTGATAAATGATAAATTACATTATGTTCAAATAATAATCAACAGATATATAAAGGCACTTGTTTTACATTATCAATTGCAAATATAGTCTTCAGATTAGTACTGGAATAGTATTATTTATGACACCTATTTTGTAGAAGTACCTCCAAGGTCTTTGATCTAGATAGAGACACATAGAGAACATAGACTCATATCTCCTTAAAGAAGACATATTATGCTTTTTCAGGTATTTAGTTTTGCACTTTCATATTCAGCATGTGTAGATCATCACCATTTATTGCACTAAAGATCTAAAATGACAATGACAATGATAATTGAAACTTTTTAACCCTACATGTATGAGTTGCAGTTGTAATTTTTCCAATAATGATAGTTGGTAGATGAAAACATCCCTGAATCAAAATACAACTTTAATTAAGCTATGATGAGGGAACACAGTAAAAACAAGGTTACAGACTCAAGTTCATTTTGCATAATATGTCTCTTTTAAGTGATCAAGGCCAATTAAACCGGGCCATGCTAAATGCTAACAGAATTTACATGAAAGTGTTACTCAGCCTCTTGAATAGTTGCTCATGCAATGACATAAGACTAATTTCAAGGTTGCTATCTGCATAAAGAGAGCATAATTAACTGCCCCGTTAGTCAGCCATATTGGTGACTCCAGATTTGCAGGTGCAAGAGATGGAATAAGAATTGAGCAATAAACATCTTCTATTGTGTTCATCTCTTCATGTCAGTGTTTGAGTGTTCCTCTTTACATCTCCATCAATAAGTGTATAAAATTTTATAGCATGTTTTTTTGTTGTTTTTTTTTTTTGCATTTTGAGGTGGCAAAGCACTCTTAAACTTTCACCTCAAATGATTTCTTTTTTCCACATTTTTACTGTCACATTTTTTACTTAAATTTTTTGGCGGGTCTTGGCCTGAGTGTGACCCTTGCCTCTTCCTCTACCTTGTCTGTATTCGCCAAATCAAACGTCCTGGTTCTGTTTTCCCTCCCAGCTGTTATTCACTCAGCCTGAAAAGTACAGATGGCAACACGACTCCAAAATACACACACATTTTGCTCATAGTTTTGACCATTTCTCTTTTCTCTCATTATGGATAAAAAGCCCCAAACAACCACTTTTTTGATAAAGTTTTTGTGGGCGCTTTTTTGCCTCACCACGTACCATCTTTAAAGAGAGCTCTGGTTGACTTTTTTGACAGTTTTTCTGATTTCAGGGAGTGTGAACACACCGGTCCCTTTCCAAGGCTTTGCGTATGTCGTTCCAATTTTTAAAGTGTTGGCCTCGGCCTGAGGTGACATGATGTTTTGACCTCTTTATGGGCTGTGTTTTAAATGACATCACACTCCTGATCCCAACGGTGGATCCGTAAGGTTATAACAGAAATGTATAACTCCCTAATACCGCTTCATCTCAGTTTTCAGCAGATTGAAAACATTGTGACAAGATTTCTTCACATTTTGGATGCTTGTTTGTTTGGCTGTGCCTTGCATGAAGAATATGATCCTTTTTCTTGAATAACTGCTTTTTGATTTTGGTATTTTCACAATTTTTAATGAAGAAAATTGTTCTTGTTTTAAATTATTTGCTGCTGATATCTCTTTTTGAAAGAATCTTTGGCTTGATTATTTATTTTGAAACCTTTTACAAATTCCTATCATATATTGTATTTTATTTATTAACATTTAAATGATTGTACTTTGTGTGATCACTCCTCTTCTGTGTGACTCTTCCTCCCCTGTCCCTGTCTCTCTGTCTCCACTTCCTGCTCCTGTCATGCAGGTGCACTTCAGATCGAGATGAGTGAGGAGTCAGACCAGGGCAAGTATGAGTGCGTCGCCACCAACAGTGACGGCACACGCTACTCCACTCCAGCCAATCTCTATGTCAGAGGTAAGTCTTAGGCTCTAAGTTTCAATGTAAACAACTATAAATAAAAAATACACTGCATAGCCATATAACTCATCAGTTAGATTCAAGTTATCCCAAAATACAGATCAATACAAAAGCATTGTCGTCAACCCTGTTAATTAAAGATGCATAATTTTATTTGCTATTGTTTTGATTAAAGACATTGTCTCTACTTAAAAAATAATTTAGCTCTAAAACATGTATAGCAAACTTTAGATTCTTCAAATTTAAAGAAACAATTTTTCTTTTTGAAAAATGTTGCTTCTGTCTGAATGTTGAGCCTGTTATTTGAGAAGACAAGATAGGAAAGTCATGAATAAATGTTTCCTCACTTCAAGTGAAGGATGGGCCAGTGCTCACTCAGGCTATTAATCTCTACGCCCTCCTGTCTTAGCCTTTAGACCTCAGAGAAAAAAAAGAATCATTGTCTGGTTGAAACTTGTGTTTTTCTGCAAATCTGACAAGCATCACCCGTCCTCAGGCAGCGTGTCTCTGCACAGTCCTTCAACACACAAACTCTCACAATCCCCACTCCCCAAATGTTGGAGCGTTGGACACAGCTATACACCTCAGGCCTTCTAACTTGTGTCTGCCCGCATGGTAAAAAAAAAAAATATGACAGCAACTGGGAAAGTACTTGGCCTGCATAGTAAACAATATGTAATTGTGGAAGATTATTTTTAAAAAGTTATCCATACTGAAACCGTTGCTTTTTTATTTTATGCATATATTATTGATTTATTGACTCACAACAATCAAAGTTTATGAAGAGAGAGCCAAAACTTGCCTTAAGTTGTACTGATAGGCCTTTATTACTTTATTGGTATGAAATGACTTTTATGTGTCTAATCATTATGCCTTGGATTTTTCTGCCTACAAGTTTTGTCTCTGTATTAGTAAATGTTCACACCCTTGAGCACCTGATTATTTTACAGTTTTGTACACAACACCTGACCCAATGAACTCCTTACCTGCCTTCAAAGTTTATAGTAGTAATAATGTTTAGTAGTAGCTGTAGTAAAAGTAGTGAGTTTTTCTTAAACCTCTGGCATTCTCAACACATCACCGACTTCTTTTCTTCTCTAGATTCTTCTGCCTTTCTGTAGCCACCTTTAGAATGTCCTTTTGTCTAACTTGTTGTCTCTTCTCTAATCTCCTTCCTCCTCTGCGCTCTGTCTCACCTCCCTCTGCAGAGCTACGAGAAGGTTGGTACAGTAATCGCTGCATGAGAATCCTTTGAGAATGTCTTTTTCCATTAAACTGTGTGTTTGTACCTTTGCTGTGCCGAGTTCTTTTCCTTGTGAAACACCGTACTGGAAGTTGCCTTTTTATTCTCTCTTTTGGGAGTGCATGTGTGTGTGTGCTGTGAGTGTCTTTTGTGAGTCGGATCATAAAATATTTAATGTAGCACACCTAAAAACATCATGAATAAAACATTCTGATATCACATGCACCCCAGCGCAGATGTACCAGACTATTTGGATGTTTCTGAATGCTACAAAACTTCATCTCAACCCTTATGCCTCATAAAATAAAACTCAGTGTGTATAAACTGTAATCCACTGTGCACAAGGAAGTCACAACTTTATTTATTTTTTTCTTTCAGTGCGTCGTGTTCCACCCCGCTTCTCTATTCCCCCTGCGGACAGTGAAATCATGCCTGGAGGAAACGTCAACATCACCTGTGTGGCTGTAGGCTCTCCCATGCCATACGTCAAGTGGATGCTCGGAGCGGAAGATCTGACACCAGAAGATGACATGCCCATTGGTCGCAACGTGCTGGAGCTCACTGACGTGCGCCAGTCCAATAACTACACCTGTGTGGCCATGTCCACTCTGGGGGTGATAGAGGCTGTGGCGCAAATAATTGTAAAAGGTAGGCTCATTAAAGAGTCATGCAGTGGAAACGATAGGATGACCTTGCCTCGAGTGAAATTTGGACCAAAACACATTTAAAATGATAACCAGCTACAGTTGCTCATTAGTAAATAGAAAACCTTTAGAATTTAAAATATAAAAACAGCTTCTTGATTTTTCCTTGAGTCAGGTTTAGATAACAGCAAATTATAACAGCATTTTAGACCTCACTTTTTTAAAAGTGCATCTATTATGTATATTTTTTTTATTCAAATAGAACTATTGTATTTTTCTGCTTGCAGCGCTCCCAAAGCCTCCAGGGATCCCTGTGGTGACAGAGCGTACAGCAACCAGCATCACTCTGACCTGGGACTCTGGCAACCCTGAGCCAGTGTCCTATTACATTATACAGGTACAGTTTACAGCTGTCTATGCCAAATTACACTTAATTTAACTTTAACTTTTGGCTTAAATTTTAAGATCATCATCATATGATTTAAGACCATCTTCTAGCATTGAATTATTGTCTTATCCATTTGCAGCATCGTGCCAAAGGCTCAGAGGATCCCTATAAAGAGATTGATGGAATCGCCACGACTCGTTACAGTGTGGGAGGCCTCAGCCCTTATTCCCACTATGATTTCCGGGTTGCAGCTGTGAACACCATCGGACAGGGTCCCTCCAGTGACGTGGTAGAAGCCCGCACAGCAGAGCAAGCCCCCTCTTCTCCACCGCGACAGGTGAGAGAGATGTAGGGCATGATGTAGAATTTACTTTTAGCCTTTAGTTTGTGCCCCTGTTGCTGTTGTAATCAAAAATATTTGGCCATTCTCCAATGATTTCCATCTGTAGGTCAGAGGTCGTATGTTGAGCACCACTACAGCCATTATTCACTGGGATGAGCCAGAGGAGCCCAATGGACAGGTTGTGGGCTACAGAGTGTACTACACCACTGACAACCTGCTGCCAGTCAATCAGGCAAGTAGCTGTGTTGGCTACTTTACTGTATTTAAATAAGAAACAGCTGAATATGTCTTAAACGTGAGAGAGCCTGGCTAGACGATGCCTTGTATTGTGTGTTTCTACTGTGCAGTGGGAGAAGCAGATGGTGCGCAGTGCCAACTTCATCACTATCCAGAGTTTGACTCCGAACAAGACGTATTACATCAGGGTTCTGGCATTCACATCTGTGGGAGATGGACCTTTGTCTCAGGATCTGCAGATTATTGCCAAGACTGGAGGTAGGAGATTCTATCAAAATATATTAACTGGACAAAAACTGACAATTAGTAAGGCAATGCTGATCTGACTTTTGTATCTCTAATTTCATTGTTTTATGATGTTGTAGTTCCCTCCCAGCCCTCGGAGTTTAAAGGTGAAGCCAAATCTGAGACCAGTATCCTCCTGTCTTGGGTGGCACCCCCTCAGGGAGGTCCTGACCACCAGATCACAGGGTATGAGCTGGTCTACCGACGATCTGATGAGACAGAAGAGGTGGGGAGTCAATCTTATGATCATTTAAAACATTATTTAGCCCAAATACAAATGTGGTATTCGTTTGTTGTTCTCCTTTGTTCAACAGAAGAAAGTAAGCTTTGAGCCAACCACTTCCTATCTTCTCAAAAACCTGAAGCCTTTTTCCACCTACACTTTCCAACTGGCTGCCAAGAGCAAACATGGAGTTGGAGCTTACACCAATGAAGTGTCCATAGACACTCCTCAGACGCGTAGGTTCAGTCACAGTGTGTGTGTGCGTGTGTGTGGGTGTGTGTGCGTGTGAAAAAGTGTTTTTTGGTTTTCTCTTCTGACAATTCAAAAACATATACTTAAAAAGCTTAAACAGCAACACAACTTCAGAGACATTTTGATTGCTCAATAATGAATGCAGTCTACTGAGCTTATTTCAGCTACACATTATTTAAAAAGACATGTGATAGTTTGACGAAAACATTAAGATATTTATCTGTTTTGTATTGTCACAGAGAGCCAAAAGCTACAAATGACCTCAGATTTGATAATTAATTTGTTCATTTTAGTATTTCCTATTTAAATTTATAATTAAATAATTAGACCTGACCAAACCTAGAAGCAAACTTAAATCCATATAAATAATCATTACTTTACTTTCAAATCAATCTGAGATCTTTAAATATAACAGTAAAAACAAGGTAAGAAGTCCAAAGCTTAAGTATAGAAATCCGTCCTGATGGCTTGAGTAGACTATATGGACAAGAGTTATGGTCAGGTATGTTTACGTGTAGTCACTGTTTTGATGTTGCATTTATCAAGTCATTCACTTGTTTTCATTGGTTGAACAGAAGTCAACATTCATCCTTCTCATCTCTGTGACTTTCACAGATTTTCACTTACGAGCTTCTGTTTTCCAGTGTTTTGTTTTCACGTTGTTTCTTTGTCTTTTGTTTCCTGTCTCTCATCTGCCATCCCACCACAAACCTCACCTTCACCTCTCCACCCAAAAATAACTTTACACACATTCTCCTCTCACCTAAACACTCACCCAAACTCACCACTTGCCTTCAAAACTGGCAAATTAGTCCCTGCAGCACCTCCTCAGAATATCACATGCACTAGCCCCAGTTCTACCAGCATCCTGGTAAGTTGGGCGCCCCCTCCTGTGGAGTTTCAGAACGGCATTCTATCCGGCTACGCAATCCAGTACTCCAACACCGAAGGCAACAAAACATTCAAAACAGTCAATGGAATTTCACCAGAAAGTTCGTCATTTCTATTGGGAAACCTGGAGAAATGGACTGAGTATGGGATAACAGTCCGAGCGCAGACAGAAGCTGGTGACGGACCTGAAAGCTTACAACTGCTTATTCGCACTGAGGAGGATGGTATGTTTACAAACAAACCTCTCAGATTAGAGCATTGTCCCTGCTAACCAAGGCTAACACAATACTAACAAGTCCAAGCAAGTGTCTCTGTGTGTGTCAGCTGATGCCTTCGGACCTTCCTCACTCTCCAACACCTGGAACAGCTCCTCCCTGTTTTCCCTTGCTTCAGTTTTTTCAAGACAACAGTTTTCTCCAGATTATGCCCTAACACTTACCAGCTCCCATTTGACCATTTTTCTATTAATTAAGAATAAGCAATAACCAAGTAACACTCCAGCTCTACTTACCCCTGGCTGCCCTAACACCCATTTTCCCAAGATGCGTTTTCCCAATGATTGAATTTATGTTGGAAGATATTTTTGAATGCCATGTTTAACATTTCCAGTTTTGTGTCGCCATGTGGCTTTAGTTTTATTTACTGTACCTTTGAGGGAGCTTTCAGATAGCAAACAGTGGTTCTGTGTTTTTTAACTTTTTTTTTTTGGCAGTAAGAGTTTTTTCCTCAGTATTTTCTCTTTGACTGCCTGCCACTGTTTATCAGCCTCTGGCAACAAATCCCTTTTATCAGCCATTCTTATCTTTTTATACATTTTCTTATCTTTTCCTGTTTTTTATTTATTTTTTTACTATTTTGGCTTTTTACCAGACATCAAGGCATTTTTATATTTTTGGTGGCTGTATTTTTCACATTTTTCGAACAAAGAAATTCGTTTTTACTTACAAAATATGGGTTCTTTAAATGAATAGTGACCCTTGACCTTTATTCCAAAATGCATTTGTAGTTCCAAGTGGTCCTCCTCGTGGGGTGGAGGCAGAGACAGTGAACGCCTCAGCTCTTAGAGTAAAATGGCGTGCTCCAGCTCCTGAGCGGCAACATGGTCAGATCAGAGGCTTCCAAGTGCACTATGTGCAGATGAACTATGGAGAGCCCCAGGGCCAGCCGCTCATCAAGGACATCCTCACTGAAGATACAGAGGTGTGCATTTCATCATATTTAATCTGCATGCTCCTACTTTTATGTCTGTTTTAATCTTTCTAGCTGTTGCTTTAACTGTAAATTAAATCATACTGAAGTGAAGATGTGTAGTACAATAATATTAGTGGTAGGGTGAAAGCTTTTTGATGGCTGATCTTATAATTTGTTTGTCTGCTTTTTTCCATTTTCCGGTTCCATTACTCAGTGGGGATCCGATGAGTCAACTGAATACGTAAGTATCTCTTTCATCTTACCATTTTTTTTAACAGTTTTGACAAAAGTGTGTTGCATCTAATTCGGGTCTGTTAGAGTGTGAAATATAAAACAATTATTATGTAAAAAAAAAATTTTGCACGTATTGTTTTGACTGCAACTTTTATTATAAAGGATTGTACAGTGCCCTCTGGATGTGGGTTAAGTGCTTTCCTTTGCCTGGCTGACTGTCCCTGCTGTGTTCTGCAGGAAGTGGTTCTGGGAGACCTGAAGGCCGACACCTCGTACTCTGTGTCAGTGGGGGCTTACACTGCCAAGGGCGATGGTGCACGAAGCAAACCTGTCAGCGTGTGCACTGCTTTGCCATGTATGTATGCTCTTCACACAGTTCATTAAATTAGATCAAACACCACCCAACCACTCTTAATGTGCTGTATCTAAAGGTCATGCTGTAATGTATTTAATTGTTCGTAATCTTTTTTTAAATGAGCATTTATCTAATCAAAGTGTGCAGCATTTTAAATCGGCTTCTGCTTTAGAGCCAATTTTTCATGAGTTTAAATTACCTGGTCACAAAAGCTGACACTCCTAATAATCTTTGAGAGCGCTGCTTTGCTAATGATCATTAGTGGGACCATTGAATGAGTCATCTATCTAAATTCCTCATATGTTCCTCTGTGAAAAGGAAACCAGTAATTTAGTGCAATATTAATCACCACTGCCTATTTTCTATTATTCTTTGGTTATAAATAATTGAGTCTGCAATTAACTTGCAATTATTTCCTCCCTTTCATCACTCACTCACATCCTCTTGTGTTCTTCTCTCTAGTGCCGGAGATGCCCAAACTGATGGTTAGTGCCACTGAAGCAGGCACAGCCCTCCTGCAGTGGTACCCGCCTCCAAACCCTCCCACTCCGCTGCTCGGGTATAGACTCACTTTTGGTCGCATTGATGTCCTTCCATTTACTGTGGTTGAGTTTCCAGCCAAAGAAAATCGCTACACGGCTCAAGACATCCACAAAGGAGCAAGCTATGTTTTCCGCCTCTCTGCCCGTAACAAAATGGGATATGGTGAGGAAGCAGTTAAGGAGGTGAGCACTCCAGAAGATGCTCCGAGTGGATATCCAGAGAACATTATCTCCGAAGAAGCAGCTGCCACCTCTATGCGACTTGCTTGGAAAACAGTTCCCCTCATTGAACAAAATGGGAAAATCACAAAATACTCTGTGCTGTATAAGGATATAAACAGTCGAGGAAATGCCTCTGAAGTGGTGGTGCCCTCCCCAAAGTGCAGTGTTGTTTTGGAGAGTCTTATTCCAGACACAGTGTATGAAGTCAGATTGAGTGCGTTCACAGGTGTGGGCCAAGGGCCTTACAGCCCCAGTGTCCAGTTTCGGACGCAGCGGCTAGACCAAGGTAGGCCCCTCACTCCCTCATACTTCTTCAGTCCACAGGGTGCCCCCCTAAAGTCTTCTCTGCATACATACAGTCATATAAGCAAACACAAAACACCTGAACATCTGAGTAACCACATTCTGAGTGTCCTTTTCGTTGTCTTGTCGCTGTAGTCATAGACAGAACGTCTTTGTGCAAAGCAAGGTAAGAGTCTGGGGTCCTGGGTGAGTGTTACAGATATAGATTATACACTCTGCATCCCTTAAGGGGAGTACTATGGGACCAAACTCACTCATGCTACAATGACAGAGCAGGTAATGTAATGTAATGGGCCAAAATACTGTATAATAATTGTCTCATTTTGTTTTTTATTGCAGTTTTTGCCACCAATTTCCGAGTGAAAGCTGCCATGAAAAACTCTGTTCTTCTTTCCTGGGAGATCCGGGACAAAAACCCTGTCCAACCATTCACTGTAAGTTGACATGTGTTTTATCTACAAATATGCTTTTTCTGTTACCATCTTTACTTTTGTTAGAAAACTTCACCAGCCCCAGTCTGGTGTCACTGAAGTTATATGAGCTAGGACTTTTGCTGTGCTGATCATGTGGTTAATATTCTATATGTGTCTGTGTAGATCCTGTATGGGAAGGGCCAGTCTGTGGAAGTGGATGGGAAGCAGACTCAGAAGTTGATCACCGGTCTGGAGCCGGACACGCAGTACTCGTTCTTGCTCACAAACCGAGCCAACAGTGCTGGAGGCCTGCAGCACCGCGTCACCGCGACGACGGCCCCAGACCTGCTGAAGACCAAACCCACAGTGGTGGGCAAAACCAACGCAGACGGTATGGTGACTGTGCAGCTGCCGAGCGTCCAGACCACTGCTAAAGTCAGGTAATGATGACAGATGTGAGGCTTGTTATTAAAGCAATAAATTATTCAAATGATTGCCTTTAATGAGTTTTAAATGTGGAGAATTTGTTGTCAATGGAATTGTTGCTAAGATCCAGTGAGGTCATTTCACTGTTTTATTCACACAGCTGTGTTTCATTTAGTGGTCCACTAGGATGGATTTGTCTGAGCTGCCAGCACAGCAAGTGAAAGAGCTCCCAAATGAAAAACACAAAGCTGAAAATCTGCCCATGACCAAAAACAAATATTGTAAAAATTGTTTACCTGTTACATCAGCCACATTGTTCATCTTCGTCATTGTGAAATAGCAACACTATTAAATGCAGTCACTGTGAAAAAGTGCAACCATGATGGGTGATTTTAGCATATAAAGGGGCTATATTGAAGATGAATGAAAACACTTTACTTTAAAGCCTGAAAGTACAAGTACACGTGAATCATTTGGGGTCATCGCCTTATTGTTTGGCTAGTGTTAACAGAGTGCGTGCTCCAACAAGACCCTTCCATGGTGCTGTTTTTGTTCTCACACAAGGGTTTAACACCAACTTCCGTTCCCAGATGTTTAGATTTATTGTGTATTGTTGCAGCTGCGGTCACTCGTTGTAGTTGTAATAGCATGTTAAAGGGCTGATGTTTCCACAGGCCTAACTGAAAAAGCAATCAGGTTTATGTGTGTTTCATCTGGACTCATCCCAACGTGGACTCTCTTTCAGGGGCTACTATGTTGTGGTGGTGCCATTGAAGAGACAGAGAGGAGGCAAGTTTCTCAATCCATGGGAGGAGCCAGATCAGATGAACTTAGATGAGGTGAGGCATACAAATGACTGTTAACCTTAGTAATAAATTATGTTTTTGGCAAAGTAGTGGGTAATTATGTATATGGGACTTCTGGTAACGATACATACACATTTAGAGTCCCAGAGAAACTGCTGAGTTTACTCACTTTTCACTTTGTGGCTATTTTCCCCTTTTTAATGTGTGTGAGTATGGTCTAGAAATCCATCTCCTAATCGTTTCCAACAATGCCATTCCGCATCTAATTCCACATTCTTCCTTCGCCAAAGACTTCATTGCCTCATTATGCAGTTGTGAAAGCGCATTCATGTGTGTGAGATTAGATAGAGTGGAGTTTTTATGATGCCCACTGTCTGAATAGATAAATGCGATAGCCACTCAGAAGATGATGAAGTCACTGGCCGCCAAGGTGTATTACCCAGCTCGAGCTATTGTTCTATCACTGATGAGTCTTTTCATTGGATAAATATTGTCTTTTTTTTGCCCATTGGATTGGTTTATTCTGAAACTTTGTGCCAGTACACTGTAAAATATTACTAAAATCATGTGCAATGTATCATTTAAGAGTATTAAAATTTACTAGTTTTTAAGTCTTAAAAGGTGCATTGTGTTGATTTTTTTGTGGAGGGTCCGCTCATTGCTGCTCATCTCCATGGAGATGTTAGAGTGTTCTCTGTAATGTCCCATGTCATGACTTTAAACATTTCTATTTAGCATTAATCACTTATGGGTGTTTCTATTGCTCAAAAATATATTAATTCCTTCTGTGAATAAGGCGAGTCTCCACAGATCTGATCTGTAATGTAACGTAGTGCTGTAACCTGCTTGTTTCCCTCGTGATAGGTTTAATCTATACTGAGGAACATTCTAGACAAAGCAATATCATTTCCATGGAGACAAGCTGGTGGCAGACCATCCACTAGAAATGTTACGGAGTCCACCTTTAAAGTTAGATATGTGCAGCAGTCTATAGATAATTATCTTTTTTTAAATCTCTGTTTAGTTGCTGAAAGAGATCAACAGAACAAGTGTGAGCCGCGCACTTCGTATCCGCAGACAAGCGAGCCAATCAGATCCCAGAGCGTATGTGTCGGCACACTTCAAGACCCTCCCCGAAGAGTTTACGTTAGGAGATGGGCGTAACTTTGGTGACTTCCGTAACAGACCGCTGCAGAATGGGCAGGAGTATGTCTTCTTTGTGTTGGCGCTCCTCGATCTCTCAGAAAATGTAAGTCGTATAACTCGATGTTTGACTTTGACTTAGGCTTAGGCAAACTTTACAAGGGAAATTACTCACACATCACAACATATATATTATAATATATATATTATAATAACAAAGGAAAAAAATATAAATGGTAATAATACATTCTAAATAAGTAGAAAAAATAATTCTAAATAAGAAGCAAAATAACTTAATCCATTTTTGTTACTTTTCCAGACAATGTTTTCTACCAGCCCGTACTCAGACCCAGTGACATCATCGGACGTGGATCCTCAGCCAATCATAGATGAGGAGGAGGGGCTACTGTGGGTGGTCGGACCAGTACTAGCGGTCATCTTCATTGTTTGCATCGTTATTGCAATTTTACTTTTTAAAAGGTATGTTCACAGGATAATTTTGGTCTGATTTTTCAGTCACCACAATCATAATCTGAGCTCATCATCTTAACAGAAGACCATAATTTTATATAATTCTGATCCATTGTGGTTTGGGCAGTTATGCACATAAATCTATTATGACAGTCTGGTCTTGGTCAGTTGAAGCAGAGGTTTTCAGTCAGTTGTCCATTTTTCAAGATGTATGTTTTTTACTCCTAGTATCTATACAACTGTGATTTGGGAGTTTAGTCTAGACTTCCACTCAGCCATTCTCTCCATTATTCACAGCCACTCTTAGACTGCGTAAAGCCCAGGTGGTGGGCTTCCATTATTTATAGAGGAATAACATTAAGGTTTATTTATAGTTTTTGTGCTCTACATTAGAGGTAAATATTAACTCCATGCCGTGTTCATTTGTTAGAGTAATTATGGTTCATTTGAGCACAAATAAATAGGAACAGCTATCTTTTGTAATTATTTGCAGTGTATAATAAACTTAGCTGGTGACTGTAAATAAGGCAGCCATCTCAGCCACATAAATCTTTGCCATGAATTCTCAGAGTTAGTCACCTTACTGGTAATAATATGATGTTCAGAAGTGGAATGGTTATCTTCACCATTAGCATCCCATTATGCAAAGATTGCAGCATGTTTGTATTGTTATTGTGCGGGCATCTCTGTGTGGGTGTGCTTTTACGTTTCATAAAAGCCACTTTCGACATTGATTTTCACTCTCCTTATTCACACTAGGCTCTATTTTGCACATCTATCACATTATTAAGGCACGAGGGACTTGGCAGGATGAGCTCAGCATTACCTGTCCCTGATGCTTTTTGATTGGGCACTAATATTATGCATCTGTGTCTGTCCTTTTATCTGCTGCTCTCCTTGTTTGGATCCAGCAAACCTGACAGGTAAACAACCTCTCCTTATTACCATTTCTCGTGTCCTACAGGGGCATTTCCCTTCGCCAAGAAGATTTCATATAATAGATCTCGAGAGACTCAGGCTTTATTTGATGTTTCTTTGATGATTGCATTGTAAAGTGCACTTGCAAAATCAAAATACGGCATGAGGCACCATGCCAGACGCTGATGCACTTATTAACATAAAACAAGCTGTAATACTAGCCCAGCAGTTTAACAGCATCTAAAACCAACAATTCTAGGCAATTACAATCATTTTATAAAGACCTAGGAATTTTGTTTTGTCTTAGAAGTACCAAATACCCTCATCACTTTGATTTAGATTAAATCCAGAAATTGCCTTGTGGTAGAGTACGATATTTTCAAAGACTGTGCAGCTTTTTGATTGTTATTGAGTGACTTCACTGTGTGTGTTTGTCATTCCAGGAAAAGGGCTGAGGCTGAGGGCAGGAAGGCTAGTTTTCCCTGCAGCAAAGCGATGTCATCCCATCATCCCACTGATCCCGTGGAGCTGCGAAGGATCAACTTCCAGACTCCAGGTAGACAGTGCACACATGAGGGTTACAGAGGGAGACACTCAAACCACGGCCAGTTCAATACACAGGCATTAGATGTGCCACTATTGATAAGATTGACTGGGGTGTTTTCTTCCCTTTACAGCCTACCGTGTGTCTGTGTACCGTGGTTATCGCCGATTGTCAAGTTAGTTGGACTTGGGCGCAGTCTTTTCCATTTTTTAAACTACTCTCTTTTAAAAAACTAACTTCCATTCCATTTAGGAGGAAGCTGCTTGCTCTAATTTGTATGACAAAGCCTATTTTTTGTCCATACTAAATTTTTAACCGCCTGATTCATGCTCTTATCTCCACCCAGCAGTGTGCATACTCTAAGGACGTGTTGTTGTTGCTTCAGTAACTATCCAACATTCACATTGTTCTTCTGTCTGGCTCAGGAGAAAATGGTCAATTACCAAAAAAAACATGACATCCTCCATTTGCTTCTTTTCTGACCATGGATAACAACTCCTAACTCTTAACATTTCCAATGTAAAAAGTGAACAAGTATCAAAATGGCTTGTTTCTGTGTTGGGCAGGCATGGCGAGTCACCCTCCCGTTTCCCTCTCGGAACTGGCAGATCACATTGAACGCCTGAAGGCAAACGACAATCTTAAGTTCTCACAAGAGTATGAGGTAGGAATGTTGATTATCTGTCCCTGGAAATCTGACACTAGGAAAATTCAATCATGTTCTTATTTATCTTACACTGATCAACCCGCCTCTGTGTCATTCTCCACGTCTGATATTGCAGCTAAGTCGTATTATGATTCATTTTAACTGACAGATAGGAGATAATGTACACTGTCCCCTTCTACCATATTCTTGTTATCTATACAAATATTAAATTGAAATTGCAACCTCAAAGCTAGTTTGCTTACAGCCAAATTCTTATCGACTTATATATCATGCGGGAAAATGCAGAGGCAGACACGATGAGAGGAAAAAAGTACAAGGAAAAGTATTCTGCAGAAAGACGCTTCATGATGAGCTTTTTATCCACTTGCAGCAAAGTTAAAAGGAAAAACGAAAGACAGAGACTTAAAGATAACAACTGGCCTGACTTTAGCTTGAACTGTGCCACTAAATATAACATAGCAGAAGTAGAAAGAAAATCCCAACTTACTGGCTCTGTAGCAAATACAGCTCGCATTACAATGAGCTCCACAGAGAGCTATTAAAGGGGTAAAAATGTTTTGGTTTCTGTTTAGACCAACGGCCTCTGGGTGAAGAAGGGAAACACAAGGCTCTAATTGGCTACCACAAGAGAGACAAACTGTGTGTGACAGAGATGCGTACGCAGACCAAGACAAGAATGCATTATGCAAAAAGCAGAAAAGCAAAGGCAGTGCAGCGTTGGGAGAATAAAAAGCAGGCAGACGCAGAGGGAGAAGCCTGTGTAATTGTGGCACAAGTTGGAAACACAGTGTTGAGCCTCACATTCTCTCTGCATGACTGTGTGCTTTGTTCGGCCTGGAGCCTTAACGAGGAAGCCATAGAGACGGACGGTGGAGGAGGGAAAAGAGCCCAGAAATGATTGCAGTGTCATAATCAGACACACATGATGTTGGGCAGCTTGTATAAAAGGCACATATACATGCATGAACTTATCCCGTATAACTCCTCTGCCATATTTTTCCCTGACCCAAACCATAATTATGTGTCGTAAAATATTCTGAATTGCTAAATTGCTCTGGCTCTCTCCTCTTCTTCCCCTCATCCAGTGACAGGCCCATAATGACCTCATGTCTGCCTTTTTCAGCTAACAGCGATGGTTACACTGTAATTACGCCCCAGGAACTTAATGTGTTGGTCTAACACAAGCATGTCTTTCAGTGCCAGAGGAATTGATCACACTTTTATCATCTTTCACTGGTCTGATGTCAAAGAGTGAATGTCTCTACATTAATGGGAGATAAAATGTAGCCTGGGCCCATGTTTCACAGTACTTGCAATTTGTACTTGGGCTGTAATGGGATTGCAATGGTAAAATGACAGAATAAGTGGACATATTTTTTTATGGCTTTTTTGATCTTTTTAATATTAGCAATTGTATAATCTTTACAAAAATTTACAAAAATGCTTAGAAATTATAGCTGTATCCAGGGAATATTGTATTGCAACAAAGTATTAATAATTTTATTTTGCAAATATGAAATTTGAATATATGAAATTAATGTATATCATGAAAATATCAATGAATTTGAGTTGAATTTCCATTTGTGAATACTCTTGTGCATCATGTAAAAAGATTTTCTCTAGCACTTGTACTAACACTACCCTTCTCTTTTCAGTCTGTGGACCCCGGGCAGCAGTTCACATGGGAGAACTCAAATTTGGAGGTGAACAAACCAAAGAACCGCTACGCTAACGTCATCGCCTACGACCACTCCAGGGTCATACTCTCCAGCATTGAGGGTAAGTTATTATAATGCCAGTGTGTGGGTATGGATGATGTATTCTGGGTACTTTTTGGTGGGCAGACCCACTGAAAATGACGACATAGAATGGTGCGTCACCTCTTTAATATATGAGAGTCATTTGGGTTTATTGCCTTTTTCATGGTATAGGATTATGCCTGTGGGTTAGCCACAGAGAAATAACAGTGTGTTAATCTATTCTCCTTTTGTTACTGACATTTCCACATAGAAATGGATTTCACCCCCAAGCCCATTACCATTATACAGTGCATTTGATCTCTATGTAAAAACCTTTATTATGTCACTAGCCTTATGCTTAAAGATTAGTATGCACCATTTCACCGTATGGATTAGTCTATGCCCTCATTGTGTAGCACGTGTTTTAGTGTCCTTTGTGTTTGTGTATAGACATGTATGCGTGCTATGATCCTTAAAGTATTTAATAGTTCAAAGTCTTTAGCTGCCAGATATGTAAGTGTGTATCCAGTGCAGTCAAGTGCACTGCCATTCCCACGCACAGCAGTGTGTAGTGTATCAGTTATGATAAGGATTTATTGAAAGGCTAAACTGAGTTTCAATAAAAGTGTGTTTGAATGGAACGCCCAAACTGTTGGATTTGCTCTGAAAATGGAAAAGGTCTGTGTCCTAGTATTAGAGTACATGTTAAAGCACACTCACCCACCTCAGCAGGGAAAGACCAGAGGCGAAGAAACTGGCAGCTCCGCTGTGGAGAGCACGGCAGAGCAGCAGTGGGAAGCCAAGCCCGAGCAGATGAGCCTTATCTGGGCAGAGCATGTGTGAGCAGCCCTTCCACCCCCGCCTGTCCTGGAGCCCTGGCTGTCTGTGTCTTTTCACATACAAAATACATAGTATACTCAAGCATGTCCAAATGCACCCATATACAGGGCTACAGATTTGGAGCACATGCAGTACCACAGATATGCTCCCTCTTTCTCATACGCTCATGAGCTCTTTCTCAGCGCCAGTACTGCCGAGCAGGGCTGGAAGTGTGTTTGTTTTATCAGCACAGTGGGTCCGCTCCAGTCTCCTGCAATAAAGTTATAGCACATCAAAGCTTTTAGCCAAGCTGTCTTTAACGACTGAGGAGGATAAACATATGCTGGAGCTCTTCTATTGTTTGTCTCCATCCCATTAAAAAGACAATGTTTAAACACAGGGTACTTTTCTGTAATTTACTTGTAAAGAAAATGTGAGTGTTTGTGACATGGGGTTTAAATCTGCATAAAGAGAGATTTTCTTTTATAAAAAAGAGAATTCTGCTTTAGCCAGATTTTAAAAAGCATCTATACTTAGAAACAAATCAAATGTAATTTAAGGACAATTACAACAGGGTAGTTACATATCACATAATTATTACAAACAAAGGGTAAAATTGCGTTGCACAAATCGTCAGACAATTAAGAAACAGAAGACACAACTTCATTTACTTTTTAGTACAATGCGTTTATTCTAGATTTAAAAGTCAGACTCAGCTGTTTTTACCAACATAATCATAAAATTGTATGGGTTCTGCTACATAGTAATTAGGCCTAAATCTAAGAAGTTACGTAGAAATGAGTGATATGAAGTCTGAGTCCTCTGAATGATATAAAGTCCCCTTCAAAATGCACTGTAGCTGATGTGACTCTCCAAAACATTTCCTGTGAGTCCCTTCCCTCCTGTCAGGATCCCTCTGTTTGTCACTGCCCTCAGAAACCCTGGGAGCACACATACTACAGTGACATATATAGTCTGTGTGCTGGTGCATGTGTACATTGGAGCCATAGTGTAAGCGTGCATGTTTGAGCTGTGACTCAGTGAATTTGAGGATTATAGTATTAGGATCTAGATGAGCAGGCCTAATCCTAAATCAAACACTCACACAGAGGGCGCCTTGCATCACATCCACACAATCCTCACCAGGACGAGCAGTGTCAGCCCGTCTTACACACACAGACAGCCCTACAGCCCCATTGCCATTCAGGGGACACATCCAAGAGTATACTCAGACTAGAGTGTGATCGTCTTAGCATGTATTCTAACCAAGACAGCTAAACAATTGAACAGGGCCCCGTGAAAACATTAATCTCCACGCTATGACCTCAGATGATCCGTGCTCTTTATTACATCAGCATAACCCAAACAAATAATCCATATAGATTGATTCATGTGAAATTGAAATTACACAAACCGTAAGTCTTCATGTTCAATCAGTGCTGACAGGGATTTTGGTGCAGTGCAGCTGTCCCTGAGAGCTCCTCACGGGTCAACGTATAATTCTCCTGCTCACCTTTCTTACTCTTTTGTCTTTGTAATGGACATTTATATAAGTAATACACATAATTCATTATTTTAAGAACATTAAAGGTCCTATATCCCACAAAATTGACTCTTATCCATGTTAAAATGTACCTCATCCCATCCATCTTGTGAGGCTATGAAGAAATTATCTAAATGGTTTTAGTGCGGGTCTATGGAGTTTAAAAATGCAGTGGTGCACTTCCTATATTAGCCCATGGCGTGAAACAGAGTGCTTTCTGTTTGAGAGGAGAACTTAGCCTAACTATGCAGGGTTTGTATGTTAAACATGTGTGAATGAAACAAAACACAACTCCAAGCATGTTTTTGATGAGGAAACATTATAACATAGATCTTAAATAATGTAATATGGGCCCTTTAAGGACAAAGCTAAATTGTCCATCCATGTAAGTTAGTTCCCCTTTTTCCTGTGTTGGCCATATCTCTGGGGGTCAGTAAGTGCTCGTCCTCTGATCTGAAGGTTGGCGGTTTGAATCCTGCTCTGCACATGAACATTGTTACGCAGATCCACTGGCCCACAGGTTGTTTGTGGTGCTATTGCAGCTCTCACAGATGAAATCTGCAGTTGTGTCCTTGGGCAGTGTCTGCGTACACTGGTGTATTGTGCATTGGTAGTGGGTGTGTGAATGGGTGAGTAATTCCCTGATGTAAAGCGCTTTGAGTGCCTTGAAGGTAGAAAGGCGCTACATAAATCTGACCATTTATTTGTTTCTATTTGTTTTCTCACATGATTTGTTCACCAACATGGCGTTATCTTACCAGGCTTTTCCACCCAATCTCACTTTGTAACTTTCATCTTTCAGCTCTTTCATAACTGTCACTTCTTTTTCCACAGGAGTCACAGGCAGCGACTACATCAATGCTAACTATATTGATGGTTATCGCCGTCAAAATGCCTACATTGCCACTCAGGGCCCCCTCCCGGAATCCTTCGGAGACTTCTGGAGGATGGTGTGGGAGCAGCACACAGCCAACATTATCATGATGACTAAGCTGGAAGAAAAATCCAGGGTAAGGAAGTGAGAAGTGGGATAATGAAAAGGAGTTTTTTGACAGGTAAGACGGGGGCAGGAAGTTGCTGATAAATTTTTTTTAAAAAGGCTATGAAAGTTAAATTAAAAAGTATTCATACCGACAACCAATCAACACCTAATCCTTAAAGCAGTATGAACAGTGGGAAGATGAAGGAAAGTGTTGTAAAATATAGATGGCTGTTATGGTGGTTTCTTTGAATTTATGGCTCAGCGACCTGTTTGTCTGCATGAAGATATTGCCCAGAATGTTTCACAATATGGCTGTAAACGTTATGTAAATAGGCAGGTGATGCCACCAGGCCAAGTTACTGGTCAGATCTGTAGAGAGGCAAGCCACTCACACTGAATGCATGTTTGAGCAATGCATTCTATTTTATTTGATTGAAAAGCCAGATAGATAACTATAATGCCAAATTGTGGCACATTTCAGTAATAATAGCTCCATGACACAAGTAGGTAGTGGACTCCCAACCAGAAAAGTTACATAGCATGTCTTTAAATATTTTGCACTTCAGTGTATGTCATTTATTGGACTTTAAAACCAATGGGTGGGAAGCAAGAAGGGTCAAGATGAGTTTCTTGACAAAGATTCCTATTCCCCACTGTTATGACTTTATTTAGCATTATAATGAAGTGAAAGAGACAGGAGGATTTTAGGAAAGACTGGGACAGAGCTACAGGCTGAATGCAGTGAGTGTATGACAGGACCAGATATGTAGGAGGACAGCATCAGTCAAGCTCACTGTTCCAGGATGGGACACGATTCAACCCCCAAATGTGTGGGACAATATTAAAAATATGTCACTGAGTTAGCAGTAATTGTGGAATACATGTATCTGACCAGAACAGAGCACACTAGGATTGAATAAGAGCTAAGGGAGATTACAGGGAAATGGGGACTATGTAATGAATTAGAAAATCGTTTGGCTTTAAGGCACGTCTGTTGTTAACAGAATACACGCTGAAGTAGAGATTCACTGTAATGAGAAGTCATGTTGGAATAAAATGAACAAGAATGGCTGGAGGTGTGAATCATGATGAAGTCCTAACCAATTATGTCCAAAGCCTTCCTGTGAAATTATCCTTTCCTCCCATCTGAGCTCCTTTTCCCGATTAACCTGTCTTGTGTTAAAACTCTGCTTCCTTTTCAACTTTTTCCAACTGTCTCTGTTGTGTCTGTTTGACCCTCAGATGCCCTCTTATTTCTTCTCTAAGGCAAGACCTCTCTTTCTCTAACCCCTTTTCAAACGCACCTCACATGGGTTTACTTCTCTGTTCAGTGACCCTTTTCACTGTTATCCTTGTTTTGTCTCTGTACTAAAGTTAGTGAAATGCGAGAATGCTAAAATGTCTTCAGCTCACAACAATGCACTAATCTGCTCCCAGAAGGATATTTTCAATCTCCTCTTCTTCACAAACATCCCACATTAGTGTTAACTACATGCATGACCACACTCACTTTTGTCCCCTGCTGTGAAGTATAATACAGACATAGTGAACAATATTAAGTGCCTTGAATAAACCAGGCTATAATGAAAAGCAGCTCTAACTGTCTCATTGACCTGATAAGACCAGGCCAGTTAATCCTTTAAAGTCAATAGTTGTTTGTGTTGTAATGTAGTACACATAATTAGCTTTATGAGTCAATAATTTATTGTGGGTTGGTCCAGAATCATTTTACCACCTCTTATAATGCAGTTACAGCACAGATGATCACAGATGGTTCCACTGTGGGAGCAGTGCCAACATCATTCCTTTTAGCACCAATCAAATAACAGAAGCTCAGTGCTACCATTTATCAGCAGCCCGTATAGTTCTCACACCAGACATTTACTGCGCTGCAATAATGTTTCGCCTCAGGCAGTGGGAAGGCCCCCTACGTGGACAACCATTTTTGTCCCCACAGTGTCTCAAGGTCTGCAAGGAAAACAACAGTTGAAAAGCTGTAATTACAGCCTAAACGTCCCAGGCCAAAACGCATAATCCCCAGTCTGGAGCAGTGGAATGCAGAGCAAGCTGAGCTGAGCTCCCAGCCGTCTTTGATGTTAGGACTGGAGGGATCAGCACATAACATTTGGTTTGGCCTGATTCTGCCCCCTTTTCCATCCTCTGGGAATGTTCCCCTCTCGCTTCTGTGGTCTCCAAAGAACTACAAAAATGACGTCTATAACAGGGAAATTTAAGTTGTTTTAAAGCCTGGGAATGCTGGGAATTGGTGTGCCAAAATGCTATAGGGATTTGTGACACTGGTATGCAGGCGGAGGTACAGCATCAAATTCATGACTTTGGCTTATGCTTTTACAGGACTATTATAGATGTTGATAAGAGCCCACCCACTGATTTACGCTACTTTTGAAAACAACAGTCGCACATTTCAGAATACTGAATGGTCTTGATTCTTTTTCCAACACTTTAAATGCACTTTTATCATGGGCATGTTTGCAGTTTTTTCTTCACATACAGTAAATAGTTTCTATACCAGTAGTCTCATCTCATGTCTTCTTGTTTCTCCTGAAGGTGAAGTGTGACCAGTACTGGCCAACGCGGGGCACAGAGACCTTATGGCCTGATCCAGGTCACTCTGCTGGACACAGTGGAGCTGGCCACATACTCCGTGAGGACCTTCGCTCTCTACAAGGTAAGGGTATACCATGAATCAATGAATCAATTATTAATACTTTTTGTGGCCTAACAAAAGCCAGCAATGGCTTACATTTAGCACTGGCAACTTGTAGGATCTAAACAAACACAATTTAAGTACAGTATATGAGTTAAAATAATACAGTGTATAATATATAATACAATGTAATAGATGATACAATAATACAATTACCCACATTCAGTCCTGCTTAAAATAGATTTACAATACCATTTTATTTTAGTGTGCATCAATATGTGTCCATATTGGACACAAAAATGAGTGAATGAAATACAGTAGCAGATGAGAGCCAAGAGAATGAGTCCATCCACTGTAATAAATGTGTCTTTTTACACACAGCGCCATTAATTATTTAGACAGACACAAGAAAATATAGTCATATCTTTCATATCCAGCAAGTCAATATAGCTACCATGTTTCATTAGGATCAATACACGACTGCAGGGAGATGTGCTGCATTTGCTTATGTCATACTCACTTAAATAGACAAGTGCAAAAACAATACCCTGCTCTAACATCAGTACTATAGGGCACACAGACACAGGCTGCTGTGCCCTTCACCACTGTACAGTATCACTAGACCATATATCATCTTGTATCATGCTTATGCTCCGACTGGGTACATTATGAGGTACATCTGTTACAAATGCTGTTATCAAAATACAACAGCTAATGTTCAAGGCAAGCATCTGACATTTAAGTAACTTTAAGCATAGCTGTTGCTATTTCTGTCTTTGGGAAACTGAATTCTGAATGGTTGTTGAAGAAGAATAAGAAGAATATGAAGAGATTAACCATTCTTTGGGGTAAAAATGCTTCACTGATACTTGTGATCTGAGGGGAATAGCCCCAGTAATCTGAAATATTATTAGTTAATGTTGTCATAAAATAATATCAAAAATAAATTAAGTATTACTTACTATAATATAAGTCTACTATCAGAGCTATGAGTCTTTATACCTTTTATAAAGAAAACAAATATTTAGATAAATGTTGTCAAAAGTAGACCCTCTCCTATGTGTCTCCCTCAGAGTGGCTCCAATGAGAAGCGAGAGGTGCGTCATTTCCAGTTCACAGCCTGGCCTGACCATGGGGTGCCTGAGCACCCCACTCCCTTTTTGGCCTTTCTGCGCCGAGTCAAAGCCTGCAACCCTCCGGATGCTGGGCCTATGGTTGTTCATTGCAGGTATGTGTGCATTTGTGTGACCAGATTTTCATCACCAAGTGAGAAAATTGAGTTCCTAACAAAAATACTAAAGTATAATGTTTCCTGCAAGCAGGGTCCACTTATGTTCAATTATGGGGTTTACTTGGCAGCATGATTTCTCAAGTACAAGACCTCTTATTTAAAATCATACATAGAGGCTTGAACTGAAATGAGATTGAGGCGCGATTTTGCAAACCTCAAACTACCCTCTCTGGCCAACACACACATTCCTACTTTAACAGTCACCATCATGTCTCAGGTCTAACAACACCAGCCTCTAAAGTGCCCTTTTCCATAAGTAGCTTTTAATGTTGACTATTTACTATTTAAGCTACTGCCGGATCCAAGTTCATAAGTTTATATTCAAATAAGCTCAGAGTCTGAGCAGCAGGAGGCTCGTTCATCGCATGAGAAGATTCTGGAAACGTATCATTACGGACTTGGCATATTCTTGAGTTTCAGTGTTGGAATAAATGTGCTATTTGCACTAACCATTAGGCAGAGGAGAGAGGCTCTGAGAATAAGAGAGGGCCGATTACTGCATTCATGACCTCCTTGGACGAGCAGCGTCAGAGGTGGAACACTCTAGTCCTAGCGATTTTTTTTTTTACCATTGCATCAATACTACTGTATACTGTGTAGTTACAACTTGTTCGAATACCACTGTTTTGTTTACTTCTTGCATCAAGTTAAAACATGAACAAAGGAGAGGTCAAGTTCCGGACACTTTAAATAGAAATGATAAATTAAATAAGAGTGGAGAATGTAGAAAAATGGAAGTCTAAAATTGTGCAGAGGTGTGAGTGAAGAGGTACGAGCCCGTCACAGGGGTACTTACAGTGAAGAGAAAGGGGGGGTGGGGGTTGGCAGCCGTGGAGCTCTCCCTAATCTCCCACTACAGTCAGATTGAGTATCTAACAGGATTATCAGTCAAATTTAATTATCTCGGCAAGACTCCATCATAATGTGCCTTTACATATCAACTCTTCCTTGTATCAAATAATGGAGCCAGTCCCACCGCACCTGCGCACGCACACACACTCTAATTTAACCATAGAAAGAGGGCTTTAATGCCCTGGCAGAAAAATGCTTGGTCAGAGTCTTATACCACTTAGGAACCAGCACAGCAAAACTGTGTTTGGGTGGGCAGCTAAGTGTATTATATTCCTGAATTGTATGTCAGTATGAGCTCCTAATGCCAGGGAGATAGTGATGAGTCAACATGCATGTCAATTTTACATGCTTAGACAAAAATACTACTGCCTGGCATCTTTTCCCTAATTGATTTAAAATGAAGCATATTATGTACAAATTTTGGGAAATGGTACATGAGTTAAAAGGTTTTGTATTACACTAAATCAATTCTTGTGAGCTTTAAGCCAGAATGTTGTTATCTCATCACAAACATACCTGGAGCTGCATTTAGAAGCCTTTATTATTCATCTGTCTACATACCAAAGCTCAAAATGCTCTGTTCCACCTTGTGATGTCATCTGGTGGTAGTTTTTAAGTTAACAGTTAGAGGGCTGAAATTATCCAAATGATTCTAGTGAAGGTGTTTGTAGTTTAAAAACGTAGTAGAGCACTGTGTTACCACTTGACATAATCAAAACTGGGAAGAACTCAACATAAATATGGAGGGTTTGTATATTAAAGATGTGTGCATAAAATATAACACAACTCATAGATCATATTTTTGCATTATGTTCATTGTAAACTGCAATACTTAAATTACTTAAAAATAATGGGCCCCACCTCTGAATATTGGCATTTCACCGTCACAAGGTGCAGATTTTCATTTGCTTGTTTTTATTGTTGAACTTTTTTTTACATTGACATTTATGGACTCTACATTTATTTGGCCTTTCCATTTAAAAAAAAAAGATTTTTGTTATTTTTAGGATTGTATATCTTATCATAGATTAAAATCTGACTAATCTTTAGTTAATTAAATATCAGCAAGCATCGCATTATTGCAACACTGAACATGTGCTGGACAATTTGCTATGTGTTTAATGTCAGTGTTAGCTTAAAAATACACAACCAAATCATAGACTTGAACCCAGTATCCTCTGCATTCCAAATAGGAAGTGAATCTGGCTCCGATTCACTTAGGGCTGAGAAAATGTTTGCCTTCTCTCCATGACTGCTGTTGTCAGGCTCCTATTTTGGCCTTGAAATGTTGGTATTAACCCGCTCCAGGTGATCCTGCTGTTTTTTATTTTAGTTTGTAAATCAAATCCTATTCCTAATATGGACGTCGGCTCAAAATTCGCCCCTGTAACCGCTCTCCTCTGTAAGCTTAATTTTACTGGAGCTGAATGCTATGGGTGATGGCACAGTCCTTTAGTCCAATTCTTTATACAATCTATGGACCCAATTTATAACTAAATATTTTCCGTCTACATTTGTCATTTTGTTTACATAGATACCAGTTTTCTGTAACAAAGCGTATCTGCCACATATAATCTATCATAAAACACAATGCGTTAATCAATATAATTATGCATTTATTATTAAAGGGCCAATATTATGCTGTTTTCTGATCTATGCTATAATGTTGTTTCCTCCTCACAAACATACCTGGAGTTGTGTTTGTTTCATTCACACATGTTTAACACACAAACCCTCCACATTTAGGTTCTTCTCTCAAACAGAAACCACTCTGTTCCACCTTGTGACATCATGTGGAAGTGCTTCTAAACTCCATACACCTTCACTAGAATCATTTGGACAATTTCATTCCTGGAATTTCCGATCTCTTCTGAATGAAAGGAAAAAGGTAGCTGTTAACTTTCAATCTACTGCTTCATCTCAAGGTGGAACAGAGTATTTTGAGTTTTAGAGATGTAGACAGACTAATAATACAGGATTACTCAAACATGTGTGAATGAAACAAAACACAGCTTCAGCTAAAGTATGTTTTTGAGGAGGTAGCAACATTATAACATGGCTTAAAGCTCACAAGAATCAATTTCATGTAACATAGGACCTTTAAAATAATGTGTGTGTCTTGGCAGTGCTGGAGTGGGCCGCACCGGTTGCTTCATTGTCATTGACGCCATGACGGAAAGGATCAAGCACGAGAAGACCATCGACATCTACGGTCACGTGACTCTGATGCGATCCCAGAGGAACTACATGGTGCAGACGGAGGATCAGTACATCTTCATCCACGACGCTCTTCTGGAGGCCGTAACCTGTGGCAACACCGAGGTCCCCGCACGAAACCTCTACTCCTATATTCAAAGGCTGACGCAGATCGAGCCCGGGGAGAACGTCACCGGCATGGAGGTCGAGTTTAAGGTGAGAGGGAATGCCATTTTGAAATATCACTGGACATAATATTGGGGGTAGAAAATTACTCTACAGTGTATGCGGACTTTTTGTGCAATATGTAATTTCAACATGGAGAGACTGATGAGAAAGTATTAGGAACTTTATATATAAATGAGTTATCTTTGGTGCTCAAACCTCAGCAGAAGACATGGCGATGAAGGACGTGACCGATTAGATGAAGTTTAGGAGATGTCTTCCGCCCGGGGACTGACCACTGGAGGAGGCAAAAGTGAGAGCGAGGAGAGTGGAGGGGACGATGAAAGGATGAGGAGACTCAAGGTGATGAGAGGATGAGAAGGCTGAAGGGGACAATGAGAAGAGTGAAGAAGATGATGAGAGGATGGGGAGAGTAAAGGGACGATGAGAGGATGAGGAGGATGACAGGAGTGATGAGAGGATGAGGAGGATGACAGGGATGATGAGAGGATGAGGAGGATGACAGGGATGATGAGAGGATGAGGCTGAAGGGGAATGATGAGAGGATGAAGGGGATGATGAGAGGATGAGGCTGAAGGGGAATGATGAGAGGATGAAGGGGATGATGAGAGGATGAAAAGGCTGAAGGGGACAATGACAAGAGTGAAGAAGATGATGAGAAGATGAGGAGAGTGAAAGGGAAGATGAGAAGATGAGGAGAGTGAAAGGGACGATGAGAGGATGAAGGGAGTGAAGGGGACGATGAGAGGATGAGGAGATTGAATGGGACGTTGAGAAGATGAGGAGATTGAATAGGATGATGAGAGGATGAGGAGATTGAATGGGACGTTGAGAAGATGAGGAGATTGAATAGGATGATGAGAGGATGAGGAGATTGAAGGGGACGATGAGAAGATGAGGAGATTGAATAGGATGATGAGAGGATGAGGAGAATGAAGGGGACGATGAGAAGATGAGAAGGATGAAGGAGATGATGAGAGGATCAGACTGACAGGAATGATGAGAGGATGAGAAGGATGAAGGGGATGATGAGAGGATGAGGCTGAAGGGAATGATAAGAGGATGAAAAGGTTGAAGGGGACAATGAGAAGAGTGAAGAAGATGATGAGAGGATGATGAGAGTGAAAGGGCGATGAAAGGATGAGGAGAGTGAAGGGGAAGATGAGAGGAATAGAAGCTGAGGGGATGCTGGGAGGAGGTTGGGCGTGGCACAAACCGAAGCCACCGTGCACCTGCGACTGAGGTTTAAATTTCGCAGACTGGGCGCTGATTGGACAGGGGGAGGAGCAGCGAGCAGCAGGGAGGAGTATTTGGAGTGAGGGATGAAGGCTAAGGAGCAGGTAAACTCTGGAAAAGTGGTTATGTACCTGGGAGCCAAGTCTTCCAGGCTGTATTTAATCTAGCTCCATTTGTAATTTAGACTTGACAACCACTAAACCAACTCTGTATATCTGAAGAAACTGCTGATCCATCCCTATCCACAATTTTTCTTCATCTATCCAATTTTTTTTTTATTTCATTTTGTCTTAATAGTATTAACAATAATAGACTTGAGCACAGAAGGGCACTCTCAGCAGTTTTCAATATAATGATAGTATACTTGTGATTGCTGCTGAGATTTTGTCATAATATAGGTATAATTAAATGTTTCCTTTTGCTTTAAATCAATACAAATAGCTTTATAATGACTTGTGTTCTTCTGGTTATAATTTCCTTTTGCTGATACTTTGCTAGTCCTCACATTCACTCGCTGCCAGTTGAATTCACAGCAGACGTTGTCCTTGCCATACTTTGAAAAATGACTTCATCCGTACAGGTATATGTCAAACACAGATAGGTTACATATTTCACTGACAGGGCTGGAGTCTGCTCAGTCTCAGCGGGGGTAGAGTAAACACTACAGCGCTCTGTCCTGTTCCCTGGCATTTGTGTCCTAATGACAGCGGCCTCCACAGAATCACAATGAACCCTGAGCCACACAAACTGTTTGTGCTGCTTTATACTGATGTCCAGCATAAAGCATGTTGGAGGCTGACCAACAGGGGGAGTGCTTGAGCAAGGAATTACACAGAAGCAGTAAATTTTGACAGTGATGATAAAACTGGAAGAGATACTATATGTAAGTCATCAAATCACACATCCTGCAATTATCCAGGTACAAAAATGTCCCATGCAAAGGAAAAAAAGGTCCTATATTACGTAAAGTTGACTTTTGTGAGCTTTAGGTCATATTAGAATGTTGCTACCTCCTCAAAACATACCTGGAGTTGTATTTTGTTTCATTCACACATGTTTGAGTAACCCTGCGTTATTAGTCTGTTTACAACTCCAATGCTCAAAATGCTCTGCTCAGTAGTTTAGTAGTAGTTTTCAAGTTAACAGCTTCCAAATGATTCTAGTGGAGTTTAAAAACACAGTGGAGCACTTTCTGTATTACCACATGACATCACAACAGAGTGGAACAGAGTGTTTTTTGCTTTAGAGAACAACTCTGCTTACATATGCCGGGTTTATGTGTAAAACGTGAATGAAACAAAATACAACTCCAGGTATGTTCGTAATGAGGAAACATTATAACAGAGATCATAAAATAGCACAATATGGACCCTTTAATTGAAAAATCTTGTTTTATTTGTGTAACATTTACAAACATGTTCTTGTATCAGTTTATCAGTTCATAATCCAGTCTTATCTCATATGGTAATGCTGAATAGAGAAATTGTAATGCTGAATTGACTTGTACTTTTTAATCGTCTTGAGGAAATCTAATTACAATATGTCAGAAATGTCCGATTTGTATTAAATAGTGCAGCCATACATAAAAAGATAGTCTGGTTTCCTTTTCAGACTACTGCTAGAATAACATTTCTAATTGAAAAAGATTTAGATTCCAGTAAATAATGGAAGGAAAATTAGTAAAATAATCTTACAGCACCAGTGGGTCACTACTTACACATGTAGCGGATGGATATTTGTGTATATGATATTTTATTGATCAAACTATGCAGTCCAAACCAGATGCCATAAAGAATTACTATTGTTGATCCTGGAAGTCTGATTGAACTGGTGAACTGGTGGTTACTGTGGGATTTTCCAGCCACGGTCCATCTGTAAGAAAATAGAGCCGTTCAGATTCTCCCACAGCGCTCCGGTAGCTACACAGCACTCCTTATGGTTACTGCATTGTTCCCCCTCCTGTCTGTGGTTTTCCCCCTGTTCTAACCCTCACTCTTTTAAGTTACGTCATCCAATGGTTCGTCCTGCTTTTGTGCACGTAGCTGTTTTTGAATGCGTGTGTTCTTGTGTTTTTTTTTCTTCTCCTCCCTTGGATCGTCTGGGGCTCATATCGGAGTCTAGAGACAGTGTGGGGCCTTGTGGTTTCCTGGTACCCCAACTTTTGATTTTCTCCTTCCTCCTCTCGTTCGTCTTAATACAAACCCTCCTCCCATTCCTAACCACTGGCTCTGTCCCCCTTGCGTTGCCCCTCCGTTGTTTATTCAATTGAAGTTGTCTGGCTAAATATCCTTAGGCCTGTCAGTCACTCTAGCCTGATTTTCTCATTGTAAGTTCTCCGCTCAAGAGAAAACCATACCATGTGCTCAACACATTGGAGAGGCAGCCTTGAGTTCCTGCCTCGACTTCCTACGCCGGGTTTTGTTTGAGAGACAATTTGTGATCTGTGAAATATCTCCCTCCAGGTTTGCACAATGTTATAGCAACAAATGTATGTTTCTATTCCAGCGTTTAGCCAGTGCCAAGGCCCACACTTCCCGGTTTGTGAGTGCCAACTTGCCATGCAACAAATTTAAGAACCGCCTGGTCAATATTATGCCCTATGAGACCACACGCGTTTGTCTGCAGCCAATCAGAGGGGTCGAAGGGTCTGACTATATAAATGCCAGCTTTATTGATGGATACAGGTAAGAATACTTGTTTATTACTGCGCCATGTTGTACAGTATTATAGTAATGCATGTGCTTTCTTATACAGGCAACAAAAGGCCTACATAGCAACTCAAGGCCCATTGGCAGAGACCACAGAGGACTACTGGAGGATGCTGTGGGAACACAACTCAACCATTGTCGTCATGCTCACTAAACTAAGGGAAATGGGACGGGTAGGTTCTCTCACCCCATATCCTGAAAGCCAAATGTAGTGCTTTAGTTTTTACAAATCTATAAGAATTCAATAGACCTTTTTCACAACGGGCGGAAGTGCTGCGATGTAGGGTAAACGTAACGCCCGATTAATGCTTTTCCATGGCAAAACATCTGTAGAAATGTCTCGCATATTTTCCACCAGCTTCATAAATCTGCCTCATCACCCAATCTTCATCCAGCAAGGTCGACAAAGGATGTAATCTGTCCATGAAGAATTTATCCTTAAGTATCAAGGTAAGAAAGACAAAAACATAAAGGCGAACAACGACTAGCATTAGTGAACTACTCCTGAACAAAACTATCAGTATGGTCATGAATAAAACAGAAGTAATAAGGAATTCATTAATAAGTAACTTGTGAACTCAGACTGATTCTACAATTAAAATTAAAAATCAATTTCATGATGTAGATATTAGCGTTGACAGAGAGATTTGTGCAGTTCGAATGCTACAGATGTTGACAGATTACATGTCAAGCATTTAAACTACACAAATCTCTCTGTCTATGCCAATGTCTACATCATGATCATTTTACAATCAGTATGAGTTTCTTATGTTTTATTCATGACCATAATATTAGTTTTGCTCAGGAGTAGTCCACTAATGCGTCGTCGTAGTTCACCTTTACGCTTTCGTCTTTCTTACCTTGATAGTTGTAGATAAGTTCTTCATGGACATAATATATCCTTTGTGGATTTTGCTGGATGAAGATTTGGTGATGGGGCAGATTTATGAAGCTGGTGGAAAAATACACAAGACATTTCCATACTGGGAGTTACGTTTACCCTACATCGCAGCACTTCTGGCCGTTGTGTAAAAGGTCTATTTATTAACAGCAGCCGCCTTCACAGCCTGGTTTCACAAAATTGTTGATTTAACCAATGAAAACCGCTAGTCTGAACCATAGACTGTTTAAAGAAGTGGACTGAGGGAGTGTCGCCCATTGCATTTGGCTCTAGTCAACTAATGTTCACAATGCTAGTAGTTATATACGTATTTGGAGCCATATTAGGAATTGCAATTTATTTTCGGACAAAATAGCTAAATAACAACACCAGGAAAAACACTGTAAAAGTGTGTTAATACAAACATTTTAAGACCAAAATGAGGAGACTTACAGCAACAGAGAGAGCGGTGAGAATTTTTTTATGTAACGTCAATTGAAGGAGCCAGAAACGCCCACATGAACACTTCCCATTTTGAACGTGGCGGCTGGCAGGTTAACTGTGTCCATTTACATGTGCAATCTATGGTCCGAATATGTCACCAGGCACAATAATAGAATAGCCTAGACTAAGCTAGCACCACTCAGCAGTGTGAGTTGTATGAATAAATTAATACAGTTACTTTACTAAAATCAAAGGAATGTATTGCAATGTTTGATCAAGTTTCAACTGCACTGAGAAAAAGAAAAAAACACCGCTCTTGTGATGAGTGTGTGCAATTATTCCTACTCTAATCAGTGATACAGAAGAATACATTATAAACAGTACAACAAACATAAAATGGTTCTAATCAGCATTTTTAGACTTAAATATTATAGTTTTCTAGGCATTCAGAGTGCAGTACTCTGACCTGGCCAAACTGACTACATTCCAAATACATTTTAATGCAGGTATTTAATTTAGATGATATGATGTTAAAAACTGAGCTCAAAAAATAAAACTGCCAACGCCTCTGTTACCATAAGAGCAATCAAGTAGCTTACCTAAAAATTCCTTGTCCTTCTTTTGCAGGAAAAGTGTCATCAGTACTGGCCCGCAGAGCGCTCGGCCCGGTACCAGTACTTTGTGGTGGATCCCATGGCAGAGTACAACATGCCCCAGTACATCCTCCGAGAGTTCAAGGTCACAGACGCCAGGGTGAGTCCACACTTTGAGAGACGCTCCATGTAACAAAGATAAGACCTAACACTGTCCTTCCTGTTTAGGACGGCCAATCACGGACAGTCCGTCAGTTCCAGTTCACTGATTGGCCGGAGCAAGGAGTGCCAAAGTCAGGGGAGGGTTTTATCGATTTCATTGGACAGGTGCATAAAACTAAGGAGCAGTTTGGTCAAGATGGCCCTATAACGGTACACTGCAGGTAAGGAAATGAATGAACTAAAACCAAAATGAGGTCAAAATTAGGGATGCACCGATCTGATTCTGGTATCGAATATCGGCGCCAATACCGAAAAATCGGCTTCAAAGTATTAGTTCAGTCGATATCCTGGTTGGATACATACATTGATGTAATATAAACATTTACTTGTCTTAATTGGCTCTGTTCACGCTTACGTCAAACCAGGAAGACATTTGAAAAGATGTGATTACAACTTCCGGTGTAGCTACCCACAATGGGCTCACCAAACATGGATCTGTTAAAACCGACTGTGATAAAACCCACTGAAGTAAATGTGATCAGCAGTAAAATGAAGACTGCAGTGCATATGTGCTGTTTGGAATCATCTTGAATCTCTTCTAATCGCATGGACCCAGTGTGCTCAGAGTTGTGTGTCAGTGGGGAAAAGATGAAAACTGAGGTATGGGTGTAATTGTTGATTAGCCGAACATAACGTAACGCTACAATGAGATGCAGATGAAGAAAACTGGGCCTGGGAAGTTGTTGTAATCGCGTCTTTCTCAACGTCCTCCTGGTTTGTGACATAAGCGTGAATAGAGCCTATCGTACCAAAAAGTCTATAAATAATGTTTTTTTTTTAAATGAGAGATAAATAAGAGCTAAATTACACATTTGGATTTAGATTTTAGTTTTGTTTAAAGGAATAAATACTGTTTTCAGTCTCTGCACTGGTTTCGGTTCATATCAGATATCACCACAGTATCAGAATCAGTATCAGAACTGAAAAAGCTGCATCGGTGCATTTCTAATCTAAAGTGAATCATATTAAAATGACATGATGACTTCAGATGTGTATTGTGTTCCTCCTTCAGTGCGGGGGTTGGGAGGACGGGCGTTTTCATCACTCTTAGCATAGTGCTGGAGAGGATGAGGTACGAAGGAGTGGTGGACATCTTCCAGACCGTGAAGATGCTGCGCACTCAAAGACCAGCCACCGTCCAGACAGAGGTCAGACTCCTCACGGTCAAACTCCTTTTTTCATTCATTTCAAATCTAACTCATTCACGTCTTCTGTGCAGGACCAGTACCAGTTCTGCTACAGGGCCAGTCTGGAGTACCTGGGGAGCTTTGATCACTATGCAACATAAAACCAGTGGCTGTCTCTTATCACATCCCCACCTAGTGCACTTCTCCAAGGTCACACCTGCTTCAAGTAACTGCACTAGGCCGTGATGTGTCTTTGAAGATATCGCCACCACATGCAGAGTGAAGAAGGGACCATCGGCCTCTCCCGTACCCAGAAACAGCACTTCTAACTGAGCCATAGCAACTTAAATGACGACAAGGGTGCAGTCCTACGCACCCTCTGCCCAAACACACACTCCCTCATTCGTCAGCCTGGAGAAGAAACTTCAAACACTGTAACAATCAAAAATGCTTGATCAAATCTGATATTTGTGAGCACCGAGATTGCTTTACATTGTTTTGGGAGTGGGACTCTCACCTTGTTCAACACCAGTGTAGCATCACTAACCCTACAACAGAAGCCAAGAGAGTGTTTGGCTGTCACAGGGGACGGAGAATGACCAGGAATCCAGCTTCATGGAGGCCTCGTGGACTGAGAGAACTGGGACTTTTGAGCCCCAGAGTTTTGCCAACCGGAGCCTGAACACAGAGCACACAGTATTAAAGACACCAATAGTGTTTTTCCTGTTTGGAGACAGACTTTTGTTTCCTGTGAATGAAAAAGAAGATATATGTATTTCTACCATACAATAATAAAAGACACCAGTTCAACCTTATGCTTCACTATTAGATAAGGGAAATCTGAAAGAGGTTTAAAACGTATACCACAGAGTAAAGCATTAATTTAGTTTTTTAGACAATAATATAGAGATGTGATTATCTTGTTTTTTTAACTGGGTATTATTCATGGCATGTTCCTCCTTTTTAGCTGATTTGGGGGCTTTTGTACAAGACTTTGTCCTCACTGACTATAACCAGACAAGATCATGTTTTGTTTTTGTTTTTTTGTTTTTATTTCTTCTAACGTAATCAAATGAGCTGTAGCGACCTTTTCGTGTGATAAGGTATTGTTCTAAAAGTGTACAATCAAATGTAATGTGTGGAAAGTGTTCACAGATCTATGGAAACAGCACACTTAAGTGTCACTCTTTGTACCCTCCACCTCTCACAAACAAGCTGGCAAGCACGGTACGATGTGAGCCTGTGATGTCCACGCCAGATCTATGGTAATGATTCGGTGTCAGGAGAAAGACTAATGAAATAGAGCAGAGCACGACTGCAATGATTATAGTGATAATACAAATATGTGTCCAAATATGTTTGACAAAGATTTATTAAGCAAGAAATTAGTTTAAAGGACCCATATTACACTATTTTCTGCTATATGCTGTAATGTTGTTTTCTCATTACAAACAAACCTGAAGTTGAGTTTTGTTTCGTTCACACATATTTAACATTTTCTCTCAAACTGATAATAGGTAAAAGTACCACTACATGACATCACAAGGTGGAACAGAGTGTTTTGCGCTTTGGAGATGTAAACAGACTTAATAATAAAGGATTACTCAAACATGTGAATGAAACAAAACACAACCCCAGCTCTGTTTTAGAGGCGGTAACATTATAACATGGATTAAAGGTCACAAGAGTCAGTTTTGTGTACTATGGGACCTTTAAAATGTTTAAGGGGTTTTGAACAAAATCTCACTGGAATGCTCACTTTTTGACCTGTCTCTTTCTGTGTGCAATAAGTAGATGTATTATATATTTTTGTGTCAATTCACTAGCTGCAGTTACACGCCATTACCAGTAGGACATCTACAATGTTGTGTCTTTTTTCCAGACACGAGGATGTTTTCATTTAGTCACAGTTCAAATATAATGAGAGTTTATCAGTAATTGGTAATGATGTCATCCTTTTACTCGTCATAGCAACCAACGAATGCTCATTCTTCAGCTGCATCCAATAATTATTTTGATTTTAGATTTCTAGTGCCTTATATTACACGCCTATTTTGATAACATTACTTTAAAGTTCTGTTTGTGTACTTTATGTATGCCAGTGTGTATGTTTATGACTGAATGTCTGGTGTATTGTTTATTGTTATGTTTTAATATGTGAAAGTACATTGTCTATTCTGTTTTTGGGCTGTGAATTAATATGGAAGGCTCTTTGTAGCCTAAATAGTTTAACATTTGAATATAACGTGAAGGTCATCTCAATGCCATCAGCTACAAGTATTCTACAGTTAAAGGTTTTGCATCGACCGGATGTCGTTGCCATTACAAAATTATCTTGACGCTGCACATGTTTGTTGTATTTATTCTTTCTTGAAAACGTATTGTTGTCCACACTTGGCATTGACTGTGAGCTGGCTCAGAAAAGTCTTATTAAAGCAGCTATGTAGATCTGGAGCTATGAAACAGTGGTTAATCGTTATATGAAGAGGAAATACATTTGTCTATCATGCAAAAATATCATGAAACCTTGTATACATTTAGTTCATTTTTGAGAGAAGTTCAGGTGCTATGTCTCCTCATCACCACATCCATAAACACTGACTCTTTCTGTTGACATCGTTTGAATGCATGGTTTCACTTTTGAGATTTCCAATTTGGTCGCACCTGTTACAGGAAGACTTGCACTTTCTCTCTTTATACTATGCACTATATTAGCATCTTATTTTGCCCCCAAAGGAGTTTTACTTGAACTCAGTACAGTTGGACCCTGATTTGCTCAAGGTTGTGTATATGTAAATACCACACAGAGAGTAAGTGAAATGCATAATTAAATAATATAATATAAATACCTGAACATATGAATGATTAAATAATAAAACATTAAATATATAAGGAATAGAGTGATATAATAAAAACGATGCACCTGATGCACAGTTTATGACACAGTTAAGTGCAATACACAGCGTGGATTTGTCACACCACAAAATGTCTCACAACAAAAGTGTTCTATTTACCCCCAATGTATTATGTGGATGGATAAAACTGGAGTTTTGAAAATGTATAAAAATATATATAAAAAATACAGTGTTATTTGGATCGGTTACCTCCAATTGGTCTGTTATTGTCAATTTTTTGTTGTTTTCTGCTTTGAGTCAACAAGTGCTTTTTTATTTTTTCTTATATTGTTCTCAGAGCGTGTGGGAAACAAACAACGGGTCTGTATGGACTTCTGTTCTTGTCGACACAAGTTTCATTTGTTACAAATAAACTCAAGTGAAATACTTACCTCTGTTTCATCTTTTGTTTTGAAATATACTCAGACAGATCTGATTTACTTTACACAGCATTCATTTTTGGGCAGTGTTGTCAGTGTTGTTGTACATGAATCTGCAGCCAACAACACAGTGTCTAAACTAAGTTAGTTTACTTCATATTTATTTATTATTTATTCATTTTGCAAATAGCAAATGAGTGATTCCCAATAACATGTTCAAACATAATCACTGTCTCTTAACTATACAGGGAAGAATTAACTTGTTTGCAACTGTTAAATGGGAAAGGGGAAGTGCATGTCTAAGAATACAGTGAAAGCTTGTGTTTTGTAGATTTGCAATTCTAAAAGATGAGAAAAAGACAAGGATATTTGTAAAGTCTTAAAGAGGCACTATGGAACTTTTGAGAATGATCTGATAATTTTATTGTAGGCCAATGAATATTGAAATTATTAAACAAGATGCAAATCTCCACATGCAGCTTCAGAGCATGTGTTTATAGCATTTGTAACACAAATACAGTGGTGCCTAAGTACATGGCCAAAAAGGCCCTCACTCATTCATGCCTGAGTGAGTGTAAAGGATGACTGCATTATCTGCCTCTGTCTTCTGCAGACAGCACAAGACACTCTGTGGATGTGAGATATTTGACTTAAGTCTTCTTTGTGGCAGCTTCTGACACGCAGCTGCTGAAGCCTCAGGCTGTGTCACTGTTTACTGCCAAGTAACCTGCTCAGTCTGAACCACTAAAAGCCCAACAAAGTTCAGTCCTGGTGATCGGAAACTGTAGTAAGACAAATGATGTACACCACTCACCATGTAATAACAAAACATATGTATTTTTTCAATTTGTTTTCTTACAGCAATTAACAATGGTGAAACTAGCAAGCCAAAAATAAATACAAATTTTAAATAATTTCAAGGATGTGTTTTATCTAAAAGAGCAACAGTAGCATTTCACATTGGGAAATGTCTAATGCAAAGTACATGGCTTCCTGCCTGGTGTTATTCATGGATTATCATAGAACCAATCTTTTACAAAATAAATGTTTCTTTCAACCTTCAGCTGATCATTTGCCAGCTTTCTTTTACAATATACAGGAAGAAAGCCTTTGTACTGCACAGACAAGGTCCAGCAAAAGCATTTGGGAGACTATGTTAAACATGCAGAGGGCGCAGTTAAGACATGAAGAAAATAGTAAAAGGAAAGTGCTTAAATACTCAAAATAAAATCAGACCCCCGAAGCTACCAAAGCTAGAAAATTCTAAACTTTAGTTATATACACAGAAAACTTTTCCCCACACACATTGTCACATCCCTGACTGACCTGATAGCACAAAGAAATTCAGACTGCGTGTTGTCTGTAAGCCTGTGCACCTCAGCTCAGCCGACAAATCAAATGTACAGAAAAGTCCCACTCAGGCTCTGCGATAAAATGTCCAAGCACCATGATCATAATTAAACATACAGCAAAATACAGCTCACATTCCCTTAAGTTTTGCTCGGCATTTGTTTTACAGGTAAATTCGGTAATGCTGAAAAATGGAGCTGATTCATGATGGTTGCGCGCGCACGCGCACACACACACATACACACACACACACACACAACCAAAAAACAGCCAAAACGTTCTGTTTACATCCATGGCTCATTCAGTGCATTTATCAGTCACAGGCTCCAAGTGTTCATTTCCCTTTCGGGCTGCGTGGCTCCCAGGAGCTTTTGGCAGTTGTACGGAGGCCTGGCAGAGCCACATAGTCTTTTTGGAAGCGCAAATTTGGAGTTCTTTGACGTTTCCTTTCTCCTTGTGTGGTAAAGAAGGTGTCCTGGAAACGCATGCTGGATGCTGTGGACTAAATAAAAAAGACAACAGAATATATATAGGGTTTTTTTTGTCTGATTTGCCAATAATAAAAATGCATACCAAATGTTTTTTATTGTGGAGTCCATTACTTACAAGTCTACGCTTGACTTTTTTAGGCAAGTCCTCCTCTAGGGTGTAGATATCTTCTCTTTTTGCCAGTACCTGAGACCCATCTTCAAACTCCACCTGGACACACCATTTCAGAATCAATGACGTTTGAGTCTGTACTGCATTTGGTTGTAATAGCATTTTAATATTTCAATCTATCTTGACAATGGAAAATTCGTGTTCTTCTTTTGAATTTGGACCATCTCGAACTGCGTCACTGATGCATTTGTGCATATCTAACAGTTGACGCCCAGTTGAACTAAATAAAGATTTAAGTGGAAGCCGCATGACTCTGTACTTAGTGAATATTTCAGTAAGTTTGAATAATGCAGATCGTCACCTTCTCTTCCTCTGCTTCTTCACTGCATCCATCTGTCCCTACTGGGAGTCTCTAACCCTCTCTACCTTCCTCCATCTACTTTAGTTCTTTCTGACGTAGACTCAAGCGCTCTCATTCAGTTTTCACCTCCTCAAAAATAAACCCAGGGACATTGTCATAGTCCTGATTATTCTGAAGTTAAAGTTTAACTACATCTAAGTTTGTGTAAGTGGGTCAGATGACTCAACTCAGTGTTGGTACCTGGTACATGTAGGAGATGTTGGATCCAAGATATTTAGCACCATAGAAAAGCCCATCAGGCCATTTGACTTGAACAGCTTCTCCTACTTCAGGAGGACCCATCTTTACACAATCTCTGCTCTAAAAGTACAAAAATACGCAGTTAGACAGAGCAAGGTGCCCCAAGGTGCCTATTCTCACTGAACTCGTCCAACGACATAAAAACTGTGAACAAACTATGTATATTATTAAAGACCATGTGGTCATTTACTTTAAAAATATCAATCATCAGACTGTGTGTGCTGCTAAAGTAAGTTTGTAAGGCAGTAGAGCAAAGAATTTAACAGCAACTATTTGGTATAGGCCTCTAAAAACATGGCTCTACCTTAGAGACATACAAAAATAAATCATAGAATATCATGACTGTCCTGATTTTACATTTCTGCTGCCTTGTTCATAATTGTACTTATTACAATTATTTATGAAGTATGACAGGAAGGAAGCTGAAGCTCACCACGATGTCTTCTGGGTACGTGTCATTGGAGAAGGAACCGTCATCAAACATGACCTCGTAGAAGGTTTGGGAGGTGATCTGCGTGACTTTAGAGCTGTAGTAGCGCAGGTTCTTGTGTTTGGATATAACCATTTGGCCGAGAGATATGGCTCCCTGGATCCCCTGCAGTTTCTGAAAGAGACAGAACAGTGATTAAAACAGATTTAGGACAGTCATTCTTCTCACACTTTGCATAATTATTTCTACCCAAATCCTACAGACTCCAAAAATGTACAATTTCATGCTAAAGCTTTGTAAAGTCGTCCCAGTGCATGACTGTTCACTGACATTACTGGACTTACAGATGAACAAACATTTAGCTTCTGCCTCTTTTGGCCTTACATGAATTATTACATTTATGATATAACTTGTCTTATGTGATTGAAATAAATAAAAATACTCACAGCTGAGGAGCCTTGATTCTGATGTCTATGACAGGTGATTGACACCACATATGGCCAATCGTCTGGCTCGATGGAGACTCCTGCCGCGTGCGCACAGGTCACATGAAAGGAGGTGGGACATCGTCCATATGAACACTGTACACAAGCTCCAGCCTGCCGCTTCCCCAGACACCTCTTCTGACAGTAACTACACTTCTGCACACAACAACCAAATGGATTGATTTATTAGCATTATTGAACATTATAATGATAGGCATTTCATAGTTTCAATAAAATGAACTACTGAGACCTCAAAGTTCTTACAAAAAACTAAAAGTACAATATAAAATGTTCCCAGTTGTAATAAGAGCTTTATGATAATTCTCATGTTTTCAAACCCATTGACCACTTCTACTTTTACAATCTATATGTATTGACTCATACATATATTTTTAACATTATCCTTGGGTTTTCTGCACCAAACAGCCCATCAAGTTCATTTCCTCTGCTGTGGTATCTCCTCTCCCAGGCCCCTGCCCACCACACAAGCCCTGCCGAGGGGAAAAGATGACGCCATT